CAAGCTCAGCAGATGAAGCCACATCCATGATCACCAAAGCCTCTTTGCCCATGTCTGCCATGTGGCATGCAACACACTCACTCATTTTATCTCAACACTTACTAAGAGGAAATGAGGAGATTTGTGATAATTCATGATAATACAATACCCCTTTGACATCAGCTCTTAATCTCATCATAGCGTGAGGGAAGGAACAGAGTCAGTCAAACGTATTATGAGGTCAGATCCTGGCAGTGGAGTCTCAAGCCACATCCCCAAGAATGGTCATAGTTTTCATGCTGCTTTATTTTATTTATTTATTTATTTATTTATTCAATTTTACCCCGCCCCTCTAGACAACGTATTTATCAATATATCATCGTGACAGCTTATACAAAGTCAAAGAGAGACAATAAGACCAGACACATAGTTGGGACATAGAAGATATATGGATGAGAACGTACTCACAAGAGTGTATGCTGTCACACAGATAGCAACTCTACTACGGACACGCATGAAGGTTGTCACTGCAGCCCAAACAGAACATACCCACCAGAATACTAAGACAGAGTATGACAAGAAATGAAATATTCCAAAATACACCAAAGTATTCATCATGTTTAGAGATGGGGATGAAGCACCAAAATGGCACTTCATCTTGGTTCATGGTATAGCAAGAGGAGGGAAGGCATGGATCAACACGATCACACAGCCGCAGCAGTTGGGGGATCCCTTTGATCCCTCTTTAATACCTTCCTCCTCTTATGCCTTGCGGGCATAGGAAGAGAAGGAAAGGGGAATCAAGCCATCTCCCAGCCCCAGGGGGGTTGGGATTCACTTCAGGCAGGCTTTAGCAAGCTGCCCAAAAGGAAAACCCCTCTCTGCTTATGCCCCAAAGGAACAGCTGATCCGAAAGGGCATAATCAGATAGGGAATGAAGGGATGAATATAAAAGGGTCATATTCATTGCTTCATATTCATTGGAGTTTCTGGGCATCAAGAATACAAAGCAATGAATATCTGACGAATCAGGGATATTTAATGAGTATCCTGATTCATTTTTATATTTGTCCCCATGGTACTTTTAGTTGGTTAAAAATAGGGTGAAAAAGTTGCTATGTCACAGCATAGAGAAAGATAGTTCTTTCTCAATGAACTTGTTAATGTGCCCATATGGGAGCATCTCTCTAATAGAGTTGCACATCATGTGTATTCCACCCCCTGCAAAACACATCACAAAGCTAGGCATAACAACCCCATCTGCTTTCCCTCAAAGACTCCGTTTCAGCCATTTTCTCCCCTCATCCCAACTATTAAATAGGCAAACACAAAAGGAACACTGGAATAAGTCCTTATAGCTAAGATTTTGAATTTTACTCTTCTCCTGCTGCATCATTATTTCTTATAGAGGAACAGTAAAATACCAGCATTGCTGTCTGAAATGTAATTTCTTACACCTCAGTGCAGTTATGTCGCAGGGTCAACATTTACAGCATAACAGTGTGCCCTCCTATGTTAGCACAATCACTAACATCACATAGATGACAAATCAGAGGACAACTACTCTTGTTGTGGTCGTTACACCTGAGCACTTCATATTGTCGTCCTACTGAATATTTATAACTTATTTTCTCTAATCTTGCATCACAAGAATCTCAGAGAATGAATCACAGCCAAACTGGAAGCTATAGGAACTGGTTCCTAATGTTATTGCTTTTCTCTTTAAAGTGGTAGCCAGACTATTAGAACTACACAAACAGAAACAGTAGTTACTCCTGGAGTAAAGAGAAGGAGAGAAGACTCTCATAGGTTGATGCTGCTAATGGCAAAGAAAAACTTCACAATTTAAAAGGAATTTTTAAAAACGACTTCAGATGTTCTCAAAACACTTCCACTGACCAACAAATGTTTTCAAACAGCAAAACAGAATCATTATTGATATTTTTATTACAGCTGAGCAGACATGTAGGAATAATTGAATCCTGAAACACATTCAGTACTAATTACGCTGCTAGGAGATTTTTACTTTTTAGTGAGACCTGCAATTAGCAGCCCATTAGAACATAGAGGAGGAGAGAAGCAGGAATTTTCAAGACATGAAAGGACCTGGATTGTTCACTGGAACTCAGTAAGAGCATTCTACTGTTACTTCTTTGTTTCACTAGACTTGTTCCTTCCGCACCCTCCATCTTGCACTCCAGTCCCTGGCTGTCTCTTGCCTGCCTGTGCTTTGTCTTGGATCTTTTCATTCTTTATTGCTGACAGAATGGATAAAAATTGGTTTAAATCATGATTGAATTTTTTTTAAATTTTTTTTTCCGGTTTAAATCATCAGTTTGATTTTTAGAAATCATTGATTTTTATACACCCTATCAGCAGTTAATTTGATTTAAATCAAATCCACCCTGATTGCTGACTTGACATTATTATGCATGTGGTGGGTCCCCTTTTGGGGGGATTTTTAAGCTCTCTTTCTTTACTTTCTTGGAATCTCTTTTTGTTTTCTTGCCTGGTTGACCCTGCACTGGACTCAAAGAAGAGAAGGCAAATAATATACTGTAATTCATCTGTAAAAAGTGCATGCATTTTGGTGGGTTTTTAATGACTGTTTTGTTTATTGTTTGATTGTACTGTTGCTGCCTGGAGAAAACAGGAACCCAAAAGAGCTGGTCCCTTTTGTATATCACAAAAGAACTAGTACACAAAAGACATACACAAAAAAGAAGCACTTCCTGAAATAACTCAGAATGAAGCAAAAATGGAAGTTTTTGTCATGTACATTCCTAGTTCTCAGTACTTCATTAAAGAATGCATTACCAATTGTCACAAAGTCAACTACATTTCACTAAAGGCCTTCCTCTTTCAGTTCAACTGAAGAAGGAGCTTCTCATTACTGTATCTCAAAGCATGGAAGTACAGAATTTCTCCTCCAAAACTGCAGTAGTGAATCTTTACACCCATAGTCTTCAAGGTCACCTGACCTCCCCCTCCCCCAGAGAACCAAGCTACAGTTCTTGCAAGATCAGATGGTCCTAGAACGACATCCTGCTTCAGTTATATGGGATAAGTACTACTGATCTTTGCAGGACTGAATCTAATAATTGTAGCCACATATTGCACTACGTTGGCGCAACAGAACTCCATATTTGGCTGATGGACATCAAAGAAACTTGGAGATTAAGTTTAGCAAATTGTTCATGAGGCGATGTTATTTTCTCCCATTGAAATCTACTTGCTCACTTGTAAAACAAATTATAACAGCCACCATACTGAAATTTCAGATACACATATTATTATTTAATTGATGTTATAATTACATAATTTATTTATGGTGAACTGACCCCAAGGCAGAACTTTAACTGCAACCAGGAAAAATCAATCTTTATGGAGCAATCAGATCATTTTATATATAAAGATCAGTAGAAAACAAGAGAGAAAACTGGCATGAATCTAACTAAACCCTTTAAAGTTTATGCTAAATATGCTGGAAGGAGGGATTCAAATTGGGAGAAAGCATACTGAATGATTAAAAAGTCCCATCATAGCACTCTTCATGGGTGTTTTAGCAGGAAGGAAATGAATCCCACCTCCCCCGCCCCCACAACTACATGCTTCACTCTATATAGAGATGTCCTCATTTTAATATATAGCAGTAAAGGACTCTGTTTTAGAACTGAGTTCAGCAATGCTAAAGACAGCCCAGCAGAAAAACACCTTAATAAGGTGAGCAAGAAAAGAGGTGTCCTTCCCCAGTTCTGTCTCTCAGAATTCCCCCATAAGAATCCTGAAATGCACCACAAAGCTCCTCTCCCAGGCTAGCTAGAAACCTGAAAAGAAACGTTCCTCTTAAGTAATGGGGATACATAGCAACCTTTTGGAGCAGGTTCCATTTGTTTCATAATGGAGTTCACGCTCAACTTTGCAGGACAATAGTTATGTCAGGAAATCAACTTAGTGAGGAAGATAAATTGAGAACCAAGGTGGGATGGATTTTACTGTGCCCTCTGTGGTTAGTACATTTTGGACTTTTATTGTCACCAAGAAACATTTTGTATATTCCAAGAACACGGTGTATCAGGGTATCCAGTCAGCCATCATACCGCCCTCCATCTGGCTTGCTCTGGTCCACTTGTCATAACTCCTGTTGGACCTACTGCATTTTGAGCTATGCAAAATACAAGTCCCATGTGTGACAACATCAGCAAAAAAGAGAAAGAAAGGGACAGGAACAGAATGCAGCCAAACGTAGGTTTTACAAAATTTATACTTCTTTCAAGCTTCTTTCATCCTTGGAGTACAGACACAGTTGAGCCTCACAAGAACTGATCATCTCTCCCAGATATATAATATCAATTTCTGGGGGGAAAAATCTGCACCATCCAGGAAGGAGGCATGCTTAAGGCCTGAGAAAGTGAATTTCATCCATGAGAGCTTGCTATCTGTTTAAATTTTTAGTGGTCCAATAAAAGGTATCACGAACATTTGCATTTTTCCAGCTGCTTCAGTTAAATTTGTTTAACCCTGTTTCTTTGACTTGTTTTTATTTGATTTCAGGTCTACTGGCAAGGGCTGTCTTAACTATTTGGCAGTAATCAGGTTATATCAACAGATGCCAGTAGTTCTCTCCCCCACCCCATGCCCCACCAATAGCAATCTAGCATTATCATTGAGTCATGCTTTTACAGTGAAATTGCTATAGAAAAAGATTAACATATGAGAAAATCGCAGTAATTCCAAACACACCCAGTACTAATTCTTAACTGCATGTGTAGGTTCATGGAAACCCTACATATTATGTCCACTGCTTCCCTCTTTTGAAACTTATGCTGGTTTTGTGCAAGGTTTATTATCCTTTCACATAAAATATCTCTGATTTCGTATTGTAACATCTTATCTGAGATTACACTGAAAATTGTATTATTTTAAAATATAATCAATATATAAGTTTTCATCTGTGACTTAAGTTTGCATCATGTATAAAGGCATAATCTTTATTAATTGACAGTCTAATTTAGGCCTACCTTGTCTTCAACTCTGTTCAGACGGGCACCAATTGTATTAGTTCCTCGGTCTTTGTTTTTTTCTAACAGAAAGAACATTTTTAGATGAATATCAAGTGTTACAATCATATAGAATGGAGCCATGTGACTGCATTTAACTAGCCTACTAGAGTGAATTTATTGAATACTGCTGACAGATGGGTAATTTTACTACATTAAGAGCAGCTTTTTAATTACTTTAATAGTATCAAGACATGCTGTTTAATGGCATCAAGAACAGAGTGGCCTCTGACTTCATACTATGCTTTAAATCAGAAGACTATTCCATTTCAGTTTAGCAAATGTCAATTTCCTTACAGAATAACTTTGCTTTCAAATATACTGTAGTCTGAGCTGTACTTCAGTGGGCATATTATGTGACTGCAGGTTATCAGAATGTATGAATTGATGATATGTATTTCTGGCCAATAAAATTTGGGAATACTGACAATGGTGAATATTATGTCCCTGTGATTAAGCAAGAAGAGATGCTTTTTGTTGTTGTTGTTTAGTTGTTAGGTCGTGCCTGACTCTTCGTGACCCCATGGACCAGAGCACGCCAGGCCCTCCTGTCTTCCACTGCCTCCCGTAGTTGGGTCAAATTCATGTTGGTAGCTTCGATGACACTGTCCAACCATCTCATCCTCTGTCGTCCCCTTCTCCTCCTGCATTCACACTTTCCTAACATCAGTGTCTTTTCCAGGGAGTCTTCTCTTCTCATAAGATGGCCAAAGTATTGGAGCCTCAGCTTCAGGATCTGCCCTTCCAGTGAGCACTCAGGGTTGATTTCCTTTAGAATGGATAGGTTTGTTCTCCTTGCAGTCCAGGGGACTCTCAAGAGTCTCCTCCAGCACCACAATTCAAAAGTTTTAATTCTTCGGCGGTCAGCCTTCTTCATGGTCCAGCTCTCACTTCCATACATCGCTAATAGAAAAACCATAGCTTTGACTATGTGGACTGTGACGATTGCCCCACGTCACTCCTGTCACTCATAGTCAGGATCTCATTTGCATGAGCCGATGAGAGGATTGGAGGGGCGGAGTCAGTGGATATATAAGAGATAGGAGAAGAGAAAGAGAGAGATAGAATTAACATCATCAGGTTCTTTCATGAGGAAATGAAGGGCACTGTAGTTTTTGATGGCTCAACATCAGATCCCTTTGACATCCGAAGCGGGGTAAAACAAGGCTGTGTCCTCACGCTGACCCTGTTCGGGATCTTTTTTGCTGTCATGCTGGAGGAGGCCTTTGGAACTGCAACAGAAGGTATCTCTCTCTGGACTAGATTAGATGGAAAGCTCTTTAATCTCTCTAGACTAAGAGCAAAGACCAAAGTCCAACTGAAATGTATGTGGGACTTCCTCTTCGCCGATGATGCAGCCATTGTTGCCCACTCTGCTGGAGACCTCCAACAACTCATGAATCGTTTTAGCAAGGCCTGCCAAGACTTTGGACTATCAGCCTGAAGAAAACACAAGTCATGGGCCAGGGCCTGGACTCACCTCCCTCTATTACTATCTCCACGCAAGAATTGGAGGTTGTTCATGACTTTGTGTACCTTGGGCTCAACAATCTCTGACACTCTCTCCCTAGATGTCAAGCTGGATAAACGCATTGGGAAAGCAGCTACCATATTCTCTAGACTCACAAAGAGAGTGTGGCTTAATAAGAAGCTGACGGCATATACCAAGATCCAGGTCTATGTAGCCTGTGTCCTGAGTACACTCCTGTACTGCAGTGAGTCCTGGAGCCTTTGTGCATGGCAGGAGAGGAAGCTGAACACGTTCCATATGCGTTGTCTCCGATGCATTTTTGGTATCACCTGGCAGGACAAAGTTCCAAATAGAGTAGTGCTACAACGAGCTGGAATTTTTAGCATGTATACATTATTGAAACAGCGACGTCTATGTTGGCTTGGGCATGTTGTGAGAATGGCTGATGGTCGGATTCCAAAAGATCTCCTGTATGGAGAATTAGTGCAGAGAAATCGCCCGAGAGGGAGACCACAGCTGCGTTACAAGGACATCTGCAAGCGGGATCTGAAGGCCTTAGGAATTGACCTCAACAGATGGGAAACTTTGACGTCTGAGCGTTCAGCCTGGAGGCAGGCGGTGCATCATGGCCTCTCCGAATTTGAAGAGAAACTTGTTCAGCAGGCCGAGGCAAAGAGGCAGTCCTGAAACTAGCAAAACCAGGGAGCTGGACAGGGGACAGATTGGATTTGCCTTCAGTGTGGAAGAGATTGTCACTCTCGAATTGGCCTTCTCAGCCGCACCAGACGCTGTTCCAAGACCTCCGTATAGAGCACGATACCATAGTCTCTCGAGACTGAAGGATGCCTACTATGATTGTATTTACTGGCTGCATTTCTATCCTGACTTTCCTCCAATGAGCTAAAGCCTGTACATAGAGCTGTCCTCTCTCTACTTGGTCCTCACAAAAACCCTATGAAGTAGCTGAGTTTGAGAGATTTTGTCTCCCCTAAAATCAGTTGGTGGGTTTTATAAGGTTGGGGTGGGGAATGGAACCCTGGTCTCCTGAGACATAGTCCAACAGTCTTGCTGCTATACCTCATTGACTCTAACTACTACAGCAAATTAGTGTCTAATTTCTTTGTTTTTTGTCTTATCCTCTTGAAATCAATATTAAAACCAATATTGCAAAGAAGGTATTGGTCCAGACCTCCTCTCGAAGAGTCAGGAACCACATCCAACATGGAACATATGCAGATATATTTTGATGATGACTTACCTGAGACAGAAATAAACAGTGATGGCTTCCCTATAGATTGGTCCAGCCTGATGAAAAAGAAAAAGTATTCGTACCAGGATAAAAATGTCCTCATATTCAAAATGAGAATGTAAACTGTGGCCACCGCTACTTTTCCAGACACAGTTTATGAAGAAATAGGGTTTCACAGAGCAACTGGCTCACTTGAAACACTCCTTTGAACTTTCTACTGTGAATATTATGGAGGTGCCTGGATCCAAACAGGTCTTTGTGAAGGAGCCACTCATCTGGTGAGACTTCCTATAGTGTGTGTTAATGCTTCCTGAAATTGTACATTGGCAGGATTTCACCACAAATGGAATCCAGTTTTTATTGAATGGCAGCTGGGGTGTGGTTTGCGGTAAGTTTAGAATACAAATGCTTAAAAATAGGTCAGCTGAAAGCAGTAAAGCTGTATCTGTCCGAATAATTTTACTCTTGCAAAATTCTACTTGAAGGATGTGCCTCTGTCCCGGGACAAGGAGATGCCTCCTGACAGCATCCGCTTGAGCCCCCTTAAAACATTGTGCAGGTTGTTTTTGTGAGGGACCCAGATGAATAGGGTGAGCTATTACACTGGAACACCTGCTGAAGAACATGGTTGAGGCACATTTTGGGAGTAGAGCTCTTCTACAAGTAGAAGCCAGATCCTGCATCTCACTATGGGTAGGATTCAAAATCAGGAATAGTTTGGATATCAAGAATGAAATTGAGATACAGAATAGCAAGACTGTCTCTTTTCCAGTCACAGCATAAGAAGCTTTCATATACCTACTATGTCATCTGCAACACCCCATGCAATGTTTTTTCAATGAACAGTATCCAAATGGGATTTCCCCCCAGCCATTCTCTACCACAGCAGCCTGTCTAGCCACTTAAAGGTGCCATATATAGAGGATCTTGAGATACTGAGGAATAGGGTAAGCTATCATGCAATGGCAGGAATGGTTCCTGAAAACTAGATGGAGGTACCTTCTCTAAGCCCGTCCACCAGTAGAAGGCAGTTCCTAGATCTAGACCTCAATACTGATTTATTTTAATTTTTGTTCCAGCTGATCCAAAAGCCTGGAGTGGGTTAAAGCAAGCATTCATTCCTTAATACACTAGGGAGCGGATTCATTGGTCCTAAAGATCTCATAAGCAAAGATGAACAAAACAGAAGAGGAAAGATGCATATGAGAACAGCCCAAAGCCCAACCACACAATCACATTTTCTGTTTCTTATTCTATTGCAATTCTAAACCACTCTTGTTCCATTTTCCTAAGAGTGAAATGAGACTATATATGACAAATACAGTGATCCCAATCCTAGGCTTACTTCCCTGGTGTAATGTGTTGACACAGACGACATGCAGGGGTAGAACTAACAGGCAGGCAAGATGCTGATTGACCTTTCCTTACACAGACACTTCTTGCCCTGAGCCTCATTCCTTAATGCCTTTTTCTCTCACTTCACCTCCAGCTGTGATAGGAACTAGCCCATTGGGGGGAGAATCTATGACAGAGAGCTGATGGATGGGCAGAACATCATGATTTCCACTTTTATCTGAGGATTCTTTTTTTTACAATAAGCAAACACATACTTATTTGCCTGAAGTAACTTTGGTTACTCCAGTAGCCCTTCAGAAACATTTACATTATTCTTATCCCACCATCTGACATAAAAATGTACATTCTCCTTCTACTACCCTCTCATTCACATATACCTCTCTACCTATATCTTCCTACCCCATGTTATGGCCAGTATACTGCATTCTTTATCATCATCTGTTCAACAGATTACTGGCCCAAATAGGAAGGTATTGGTAGGATCAATTGATATTCCCTCTGTTTCACAGATCAGCCCTAGATTTCCCAGCTACCAAAAATGTAACATTTAGAGAATAATCTTAATGTTTAGAGAAATTAAGACAACTTTAAAAGAAAATTAAATTCCTTTTCTTTCAAAAATATTAAATTCTAAATTTCTTTCCAAATTAAGCTTGAACTGATAGCTTCTATAGCTTACCTTCTTTGAAGTTCTTTTATTCGCACCATTAAGTTGAGATGACCCTGAGAATACTGTTCTATGACATCACGTACATCATATGGCTTCCTAGCTTGCTGTAAAAATGAGGGAAGAGATTACAACCTATTAAACTCGATGTCAAGTACCATATTACATCTACCAGGTTAATAAACGAAAGATCAGAATGGCTAGACAGTTAAACTTTTCCTCACTGTATTTATCACACACAGTTTTACAAAGGTAGAGGCTAGGTGTAGCTAATGGAAATAATTTCATGTATTCCTTAAAGCATTTCCTGTCAGTAAGGTATGTCACAAGATTGCGGGACATAGGAAGGGCTTCATGTGCTGATCTGAAGGGATGTGCAGTCTGATGTAGGTAATAGGTGGAAGTTTTCAGGTACACACAGGCCAGGAGAGATGTTATGATAATAGGCTACACTTTGAAATGTCAAACTATATGTTATAGATAATCCATCATTAGAGATGTTGATGTTCAAGAGATAAGAGGCAATTTTCCATGTCTGAGAAATTAGAGATGCAAAGGAAGGACCTATTTATGTCCTGAAGACCAATTCCAAAACAAAGCAAGTTAATTTGCAAATTAGGAATGAAGAGAATTCACGCTGTGACAATCAGACACAATCACATTTAAGGAATCGTCTCTTCTAGTGACAGGTTACCTATAATGTATTGTTTGGTCCTCAAAGTCAGTGAAACTGAGAAAGGAGTCAAATGTTCAAAAACAAAATGTTAGTTTCTCCAGTGAAAATGAGGCCCTGAGATAATCTGCAGGAGATATGTTTTGCTAATAACCTTTTTCATTTTGACCCATACTGTTCCTGTTGTCCTCTGGGAACTCTCCAGCCCCCAAAGCCTGGTATGGCTGTAGGGAAGTCTACTTACTTACTTACTTACTTACTCACTCACTCACTCACTCACTCACTCACTCACTCACTCACTCACTCACTAACTCACTCACTCACTCACTCACTCTTTCTTTCTTTCTTTCTTGTAGTATACATTCCAATCAGCCCCCAAATCAACTGTGCTGCTGGAGTATTCAATTTACACTCACAGCGCTAGCATGTACTCTGCCACGCTGTATATGGTTGGCAAAGGTGATTTTAAATAATGTTTTAAGAACTCTCATAATTTTATAAACGTTGTAAGGAGTTTTAATGCAAAGTGGGGGCAGGGGATGGAATTAAGTGCTCTTAATAACCATAAATGCTTTACAAAGATCAGGAATGAAAAATGTAAACCAATCCATATAAAACACCTCTTAAAATTACCATAACAGCTTTATATAACTTCAACATCCTTTTTTAAAATATTAGAAGCCTAATCTGGAAAACTAGGGTTCTGCCTTGTCCACAGGGCTACATGACTGAGGAACTGGTCATATATCCAATTTAACAAAACTGAGTAGCTGATAATGAGTTAGGGCTCAGCCGGATCTCACTGCAGGTGCCGCACCAGAAGGAAAGAGATCCCCCACCAGAGAAAAGAAAGGCGGGCTTTGTTCTCCATGCCCCCATCCCCATGGGTGTGTGAGCAGCATTTAATTCACCAGGCGAAGAGGGAACAGGGAGCCTACAGGTGCTTCCCGTAACCCAGGCCAGACCTTCACAATCTGCTCTGCTCTTGGAACACAACAGCGGAAGAGAATCATTATGCACATAGAAAACTCAGAATTATGAAGTGGTTCACATTTTAAAAAATCATCTATGAAGGTCAGGGGTTAAGCACACTAGGTCATCTTAAAATCTACAGATGTGTTTCAACAGGTAAGAAGACTCTGAATAATAAGTAGTCAGAGTTAAGCATTTTTAAACCCTCACTTACTTCAGAGAGTCAGGTAAGTGTACATAGCTGCTTCAATGAAATGAATGGGACTTAAGAGCACTCCATTTGACTGGAATGTGCTCCCTGTAGAAAACAACATAAGTCTCTAACAGCCCTGCAGAGACCAAGTTGCTCAGTTAAGTTTTATTCCAATATTCAACATCACAGGGTCTGTAGCTGAAAGTGTTTGGAATTGGATGAAGCTGCAAGTAGCAAGAGAAGGTGTAGCTGACTCACACAGCTGTTTTAAGATAGAAGGAAAATAGAGTGATTTTGACTCCCCATGACTGTACTTCTTGCTGCTCCCTCCTCCCCCCCCCCAGTATATTGTGTGTATGTCCATGTGTAATGAAGTAACACTTAACATGATCAGCCCCATTCTATCTTGGAAAGCACAACTTTTCTTGGGAAGGTATTACATGCGATTATCTAGCAAATCCAGGAGCATCATTCACTGGGACCTTCTGTGGACAACAAGTATGATTAGCTGAGGTGGGCATGAACTGCTGGTTCAGCACATTGTGCTAGTTAGCTGAACAGGTGTTTGGCACTTCCAAGCCACAACTCCTCTGGTGGGCACCCATTCAGAGTCAGTGCTATGGCTTCCCCACCCTGCCTCCTCCGAGCATGGCCTCTAAGTGGGTACCTGCTGGAGTAGTTGGGGCTTGGAATTGCTGAACACCTGTTCAGTCGATAAATGAACTGGCCCAAACGGCTGAACTGGTGGTTCATGTCCATCTCTAATGATTAGCATGGGGAGAGAGCTAAGTAAGTGCACACATTTGCAACCTCTTGTCCTAAATACAGATGAAAACAAATGATCTATGTGGTCTACCACTCTTCCCCATTGCCTTCTTTGCTCACTTCCTCTTTTCTAGTCAGGAACACTGGTGATCAGCAATAATTATGTTCATTATAATTATGAGTTAGAATTTTCTGCATAATAATACAGACCAAGTGTTTGCAGAAAGCATAGCAGAGAATGATATACACATCAGATATGTGCACAGCTACTGCCCAGTATTATTCTTCCTCTGGTTGTATGTATACAGCAGCTGCAAGCACAGTGTTCCCCTCTAAGTCAAAACTGGAAAGAATAGAGGAAAATTCAAGCTACAGGAAATTCTGACAACTATAATCAAACAATAGCCAAGTACAGGCGTGCACAAAATTCTTTGAAGTACAAAGAACTTTGAACTATTTTGTTTGCCAGAAAGCCCTCTGAAGTGATTATAGAAAATTACACAGACAATTCATGATTGATAGTAAGGTAACTGAATTACGTATAACACAGTGTACAGTTTGCGGTAACACTTTGAAATATAAAGCTATAAATACTTCAAGAGTGTCTGGTGACATCAGTGGAAGCCACAACAGACATGTTGTCATCACTGGAACCCAAAACTATATTTTTAGCTTTGTTCACCATGTGAGCAGTTTTTATTATTCATGTTAGTATTATGAATTATACGCATACAAAACAAACTTTTAAAGAAACACTGGATTCACTAGTATAAAAGTTATCTTTAAAAATGTTTTAGAAGTGCTTAAAATCCTGATTGAGAGAATTGGTCTATTGTTGCTGGAGCATGAGTTGAGCATACAGAAGCAGCTCCCTTGGCAGGGTAGAAATCCCACCCCAGAATCCACACTCCTTTTTCATAGATGAAAAAAGCCATTAGCTCGATTTAGTATGGCTCTCCTACGTCTTTGCAAATATTTTGGAAACAAATGCACTACAGTGTCATATGACCCAGAAAATTTATTTATTTATTTATTTATTTATTTATTTATTTATTTATTTATTTATTTATTTATTTATTTGATTTGATTTGATTTGATTTGATTTGATTTGATTTGATTTGATTTGATTTGATTTGTATCCCGCCCATCTGGTCTGGTTGACCACTCTGCAATAATTCAATGCAGTAAAATATGGGAAACAACCTCCACAGAGTTATGCAATATGAAGATGTCTGAATAATCAGGTTGTGGAAGAAAAAGAGATGGGGGCCTGGCAAGGCCATTATGTATCCTGAGAGATCAACAACATTTGGCCTTTTTCTCCCTTACACGTTTCCATTCAAAGCGGGTCATTAAAAGTATCACACAAACTTAAGACAATGATGTGAATGTGTGCTTTCTCATTTTGCCCAGAATCCTACTGGTGTTTTGTAAGGTTTGAAAATTGCAGCTAATTGACAAGGTGCATGGATACACAATTGGTCATGTGACCAGACATGTGACAGATGCAGCTGGACACCTCATGAATTATCCAGAACTGACCATAACAAATTAGCCAAATCTTACATGAACACCAACAGGATTCTAACTTATGTGTTACATGTTTTAGATTGTAACCTTGGGGGCAATGACTGATTTGTTTCCACTGATACTGTATAAGCTCTTTTGGGGAGAATGTTCAGCTAGACAGTGGCTTGCAAATAAATAATTTAATTTAATTTAATTTATATACCAATTAGTGCAAGCACTATTCTGTATGATTTACAGGTTAAAATGTAACCCATACGAAACCTCACATAACAAAATACATTGAACAATATAGCAATCTAACAGTATAGATCTAAAATTCATTTTAAAAATTAACTTTAAAATTTACAGGAGAAATTTTAAGGTTTAAGGTATACAGGAGAATCAGCTGCCAAAGGCAGCTTTGAATAATCCTGTTTTCACCAATTTTCTGAACATAACGAAGAAGGAGCTTGTGTATCTCAATTAGTAACTTATTCCAAAGACTGGAAATAATTTATTTCAAATAAACGAACATACAGATATATAAATCAAGATATACATTTAATATTCTGATTATCTCTTTGGGCTTATGTGAAGATCCTAATATGATAAATTAACCACTTCAATGCTCTCTTTAAAATATTATTTGATTAATAGCAAATTGTTCTTTTGATATTTACACAAGCATGTACATTAGCTTAACAAAATTCAAAAGAAATTTAACTAATGTCACAAGATGACCAGTGCTATGGTAAATTTTTTTAGTATCAAAATCCTGTTTAGAGCTAGAGTAAATTTTGCTTTGAGTTGATAATTTACCAAGTCTTGCATATCTACTGCTATTCAGTGTCTGAGAAATATACTAAATCCATGCATGCCTTTCCCCCATTACTCCATTGCCTTCTACCTTTGGAGGATGACTTTATGAAAAGGAGAACCTCTTGTATCCATTGTGGCTTTCTATACAATTTGGAAAGCTGACTTTCCATAGACATAGAAAGCCCTCCTTTTTCTTAGTAGAGGTGGAGCCACACAAGGAAGGGATCGGATACATGGGCTTCTCCACCCAATGTGTTTAGTGAACATAATCCTTGAACAGGGCTCAACTGCTACCTTGTTCCAGGTTAATGGCCTTTACACAGCTGTGATGGTAACTGTGTGGAGAGATACACACCTGATCCAAACAGTTCATATAGACCCTTCTTTCCATATATTAACAGTATGACATGCCCCTAAGGAAGCCATTTTTTTTCAGTTGCAACCACATCACAGCAGTGTCTGATCTGGGACCATGAGTCAGAAGTACAGACTTTGTTTATATATCCTTAGTTCCAGCTACACTTAAGGCACACTTTTTAAAAGAGGAGAATTCTCTCCGCCCTTGCAAAGGTATTGTAGTCTGATACAGAGGTGAGAGTGAAATTTCCTTTGAAAGAAAGTCTTTGGGATGATGCTTCACCGAAATCTCAAGAAGCCAGACAGGTTGCCTGGAAAAGATTTCTCAGAATTAGGGGTGGGGTGTATAGTGCTTTGCAGAGTTCTGTGTGTCTCCGTGACAGGCAGAATCAGAAGGAAATAAGCAAAAAAGTTTAAAAAAAGAAAGAACAAAAGAAAGACAAGACAGGAAGACAGGAAGACAGGAAAGGAAGCCAGAGGAAACAATGCAATGTAAGTATGCAAGTTGGTCTAGTCTATATCACAAAAGCTACCATTTCAAAGAAGAATAGGAGAGTCTACTTCTTTTTCCTTCTTACTATGGAGTAAATGCAGGTTTGTCTATACCAGCCATTTCTAGTGTATGAGCACAGGGTGCAGTAAATGTTTTCCAGGAATTATATGGAACATGTAAGGGAATATGATTATATTTCCAAAAAGCTTTCACTGCACTTGGCAATCTGTCAGCAGGCAAGGCTGATGGATTTGACTTCTGCACACAGGCACTTTTTTTTTCCAAAAGTACCCAAAGCTGAGTATGTGTTATGAGAATGTGGCTTATTAAGGTGCCAGAATCTCAGTAAGAAAAGTAGACACCGGAAATTAGATGGACAATACATTGCAAGATCCAGCTGGCTGGTCTATATAGTGTCAAGACAGGCTTTCCCATGAATGTGTGTGAGAAAGGCGGCAGAAAGCTACCTCAGTGCTCCATATGTTCTATCCTACTTCCTTATCAGGACTTCAGCAAGTATGAGACAGAATCAAAGTTAACGTAGCATAGGTTAAGGTAGTCTTTAGACCCACAGTAATATACAACTCAGAATTAATGAAGACATATGAGAATGTTTGCACTGCAGGAAGGCAGAGATAACAAAAGGTGGAAGGTCAAGGCCATTAGCAGAAAATAACATTTTAATTCCTGCTGCATTTCAGGGGCTTAGTATATTCCCAGTGCATCCACAGTTGATTAACCTGCTACTAAACAACCATCCTATTCAAGAAGGGAGAGAATAGGAGGTATAGCTCACCATTTCTAAAACAAATTGCCCTGCTTTCTCCTTTCTAAAGCTCATAAAAAGCCAGAATAATAATAAAAAGGTTTAAAGTATTAAGAAAAAAAGTAGCATTCCATTCATCAACTCACCTGAAATTTCTTCTTTGCCACAAAATACTGCATCCGGCGTATCACCTTAATGGCAGAACGGTGATGTTCTCGCAGGCTGTGGGAAAAATGAGAAGGGAGATTCAGGTGGAAAAAGAGCATCTCTGTCCACATAATGGCCCTCAGTAAGTGCTTTGGTAACAAGTGAATGTTTATAGAAGAAACAACAGTTCTGTCTGTGAACACAACATGCTACTATTATTGTGACAAAGGACAAAGCAGCTAAAATACAAAGTTTTATCTCAATGCTAAAACTTAATGTCTTTGACAGTAATAAGTAGAGGGTGTGTGTGAAACCTATCCCTGTACCAAATGAATCAATTCAGTTATCTTTCCCACCTTCAATTCCCTCAGATTCATAGCCATTCATGTTGAAAAGTATAGGTTTTAAGATGTTTGTTCCTACAATGCACATGTTTTTAGAAAACAGGCATCTTCACATTTTATGTGGGCCACTATTTCAACAAAAATGGGTATATATCCAGCTTATAAAATATTTCAACCCTTGCATTATTTTTCAGAAAAGATTCATTGCCTTTGACAGATGCAAGCCATAAGGCAAATTTTAAAATATGAACATGCCAAAGCACATCAGCAATGAAACACAAGTTAATGAAAGAGTTATCTTGAATCAGTCAGAATCTGAGTGTGTCAGACAACTAGTAAGTTAAAATTTTGATATAGCCTTTGTACGTACATATGTATGTATGTATGTATGTATGTATGTATGTATGTATGTATGTATGTATGTATGTATGTATGTATGTATGTATGTATGTATGTATGTTCTTTTAAAGAAACATGTGCTAACAGGAGAACAAATAATAATACTTTAAGAGAACTCTGTGGGGCAGTAATTTTTAGCAGAAACTGGGGCAGGAATTAAAAGCCCTATAATTCAATCTCAGTTGAATTACTGGAAGAATTAGATTGTAACATGAGGTTTGAGAGGGCTGCAACTGTTTTGTTCCATGTGTTCATCCACCAAGCCTTCAAGTAAAATGATT